TATAAACATATTTATAATAATTTTTAAACAATTTTTTTAAAAAACAAAAAATTAAAAAATATAGTTCGACCTCTCTATAGTCTTGCTTATAGTAATATAAAAATTTAAACCCAACTTATATAATACAATATATATATATATATAATATATAAATATTTTATTGGTTTACTTTATAAAAATTTGCTATATACGTATTTCTAAAATATACAATACAATATATACAGTCATACTGTATTAACAACTTTTAATATTTTTTAAACAAACAATTAAATAAGCTTTTAAATAAATTTATAAATAAAATAATGTAATACGTATTAAACTTCAAATTATAAATGTATATTTTTTTTAGAATTAAAAAATTATTTTTGTTACAAATTGTTATACGTAGTGTTTGCACAAAAATTTAAATATTTACTTTTTATACAAATTTGATCAGCAGTATGTTATTGTACAGTTGTAAAATTAGTGCGTACGTAATGTTTGAGCGTTAGACCAAATTTGTTTACGAAACATAGATAAATTCGATAAAAATCAGATAATTTAGATCATAAGACGCCTTTTTGTACATTTTTAACGTAGTTCGGTATGATTTGCAAAGGTTACGAATACCCTAAAACTTTCGAGAATATCAGACAATTAGTATGACAAAATTATGATATAATTTATACATTTATATCAAAAAGTCATACTCAGAATTAAGTCATAAAATATTAGATAATCTGATGAATAGGTGGAACTGAGTCAATGAATACTTCTCGATCATCAAATTTAATAATACTACTCGTTGATAATCAAGTTGTTGCGATCACCTCTCCAATAGGATAATTGATAGGATAATTACAACTAGCATTCTCGAAAAATACCCACAATTGAAGGTCACTTTTTGCAATAAAAATTTTTAAAGACTGGCTTTTTAATTCCAAAAAAAACAAGTGGGGCATCCGTGGCCAATGTCGTTTTTTTTTTTTTTTTTTTTTTTTTTTTAAAAAAAAAAATGCGAAAATTATATATACAAAATTAACCGGCAGAAATGTTTTTTTTTCTTTTTTTGTTCTAATATGTACATAATTTTGAAGGGAACAGAAAAATTACATTCTCCTTATAAATCATAAGCATAACTTATAATAAGGCCTAAAGAAAATAATAGTTATTATAATTATAATAATAATAATTCATAATAGCAATAAATGCCATTTTGCCAGCAAACGTGGAGCCATAATTTTTATGATTTTGTGTATATTTTTCATGACCCAACCAGATTCGTATAGTGTTCAAAGTGAACGATTAAGAATTATAAGATTGAGCTGAAGATCTTTCAAATGTAGAGTGCCCACCGTTTTTAATATACTCTTGAAGAATATTGCAATCACAATTTCGATGCGCGAGAAGTTGATTCTTAAGTGCTAACATCTCTTCTTTGAGATCATTCACAAATGCATGTAGTTGGTTGTTCTTTGCAATGATTGAATCAGCTTTATTCTTTAAATCTTGTCCCCAGTCTTTTTTCTTTTGTTTGTTTTTTTAAGTAAAAAAAAAAAAAAAAAAAAAAAAAAAAATTACGTAAAGAACGATAGAACCAATCGATGACAATTAATAATTACCAGCGATGCGATTTCTTTCCAAGAATTTGCGACGCTTTTCTTCTGCAGTTTCTTCTGCATCTTCGGCAGCACGTTTTTTATTTCCACCAATGGAAACATTTCTTGTCGAAGAAAAAGATGCATTACTGGTATTATGCACTTGAGACATGGTTGGCTCCTCAATTGGTGAGGTTAACGTATTATTTGTCGTATTTTGAACTACAGTAATATTATTCATAGCAGTTTTTTTATTAACACGACGTTTTTTCTGAGTCGGTGTTGTTTGATGGGAAGGAGGCGGTGTGGGTTGAGTGGAGTTCAGTTCATCGACAACACTAGCGTCGTCTGATTTAACAGGTGATAAATGCTCGCCGAGCTTCTTTGTAGAAATGCCATAAATGTCATTCGGAGATGGATGTTTGAGCGATTCTTGACCGTTTAAACCATTTTTATCATTTTTGTGACCATTTTGAACAGTTCTTGGAGATCGAGATTGAAATACTAATTCATTCTGAGAATGTTTTTGGATATCTCGACATAAAACTTCTTGATGATGATGATCTTGGTCATCATCAGTTACCAAACTTGGAGTAGGGGAGTGGATTGATACAACTGTCGGTGTAGTCATCAAAGGATTTTCTCTGATATTTGACGTATGAGGAGAGTAAGAAGTAACGATGGGACTCGGTGCAGGAATGGTAGTAGCGGTCGGGTTATTAACGATTAAAATCGGATTATTAGGTGCTAAGGTGTCAAAGTGCGCAGCGTTAACATAATAATCGTCTTTTTTTTGCGTTTCATGGCAAACCATCGTTTCAGATTGTGAAAGTTTTTGAACACTGTCATCAAATATATTAAGATCTTGACCGAATGTACCAAACGACGGCGTCATTGCAAAATCACTACACACGTTAAGGAAACGTGAGGGTGGCGCGGCCATGTCTAAATATATATCAAATATTAGTATTAATATACAAACGAAGATAGAAAAAGTTCACGTTGATTTTCTAAAACCTACCATCAAAATCTCCTGCAGGAGCATGGTATACTGACCACGAAGAAATAACTGGTGTATTCATAACGAAGTTAAAATGTCAAAGAGTTACAAAAATAAATTTCTTTTAATAAGGTACGCGTTAAAAAAAAAAGGAAAAAAAATCACTGGAAAGGAAGCAGGATATGAAAAAATGTGCTATTTATGCGTTTTTTTTTTGTATCGAAAGGCAGTTACGCAGTGAAGAGGTTTTAACAATTTTACAGTGATCCAATATATTTTTTCAGTATATATATTTCACAAAAAGTAAACAGGAATTTTAATTCAGAAAAAAAAAAAAATATTGACATAGTTTGAGTATGTACCACATGATAGATCATCATGATGTAATTTTATGCTGTTTTGGTCACTCGATCAAACCCGATCCGGCGTTGGGGCTTTCTCATTATGTGGTTCGGGTAAAGTATTTATTTATTTATTTATTATTTATTTATTTTTTTATTTATTATTCTTATTCATGTTAGCATTTCAGCAAATATAAAAAAAATTGTTGGTAGAATTCCATATATTGAGATAAAGTTGTTTGATACGCCACGTAACAATATGAAAAATAAAGTTTTATTAGAGAAAGAGACCACTATAGTTTAAATTATCCCTTCACTATTCTTTCTGGGTTACAGTTTATCGCCATCCTTTGGAATTTCGATCATTCATTTCCCATTTTATTGAATAACCGATAATCTCCGCAATTGGAAATCTTTTAAATCTTTTTAAATCTGAAAAATAATGCTTAGTCCCACCTTTATTATGTGACACACGAATCGGATGCGCATACAAATCATAGTAGTCTTCACAGGTTCATGGGAGAATAGTAACGTGAAACATAAAGATTTAGCATTTAACTTCCATACTCTCGGTATGAAACATATATACATATTTATTATGTTCCCACTTATATCATGTAATCTTTTTTTCTTTCACATGTTTGCGATTTTCTGTCACTGTGTTCATCTGTCATCAATCTTTATGCCTATTTGATTATGTTGCCTAAAAAGGCTGGTCGCTTTTAATTGATTCTAATTTGGGTGTTGTAACGTGGCTAAGACCGTAATCCTCTATTATAATACCCGGAACCTAATTATATAATTTCTTTTCATTATGTCAAAATGCATAAGTATACATATCCGGAAATTTAGCATTGTAACAATTTGACATTTTTATTACATATTTATATACCGTATTTAGTATTGCTGATTTCTATTAATAATTAATTGATTTGACTTAATTGTATAGGTTTATATTTTTTTTTTTTGGCAAATAGTTATTTTTTTATATATTATATATTTTTTTAGTTATTTATATATTACCGGATATTATATAGTTATTGGATGCGAAGCAGCCAATAACGGAAATTATTTGTAAAATAATTTCATTATCTGGCTGTGAAATTT